AGTCATTTATCACCCTGCACGAGCAAAGACATCTGTGCAGGCCGTGCTCTCCCTGCTGCTGATAAGAATGTTATTCACCACCCAAAGAGGAAAGACCGGAGTCTGTGGTTTCGGCCGGTTGAAGCTACTTCCTTAAATGACATGACATCAGATTGCAACTTCTAGATGGTTGGCACCAGTTTTATGAAGAGCAGATCAAATTATTGTTAATGAGGGGAAAGCGCCTTTAGAAACAACTAGTAGAGTCCTGGCTGTGGCCTTAGGTCCGACAGAACAACCCAACGGCGCTCAGAGAAGTCACCTTTGGAATAGCAAGCCGTTCCCGGGGATTCTTAAGCAATCTCTTGCTTACACCGATGGAGCACACAAAAGCAGCTTGATTGTAGGTGTGTGCTCTGACGGTCAGCTTCCCCTTTCACTCTGAAATCTGAGCTAGTTTGGCTCATTCCCTACCTAAAATGGCAATGCGTTAAGAGCACAGATTCCATGGGCTTCCAAGAAAGAAGGTTTTTGATGCAATTCATATAAAAGAGTCATCACTCCCAAGATCTCACTATTATGAGAAAGGGTTACCCCTTGCTTCCCCCATTTACACCGGAGCATTCCAGGTGCCTACTGGGCTTTCGTGACCTGGCGGGAGCCTGGGCTTCTCAAGCCTTTTTAGTAGAGAAATGGATAGTCTTTCCAGAAGCCATGAAAACATGAAAATTCCCCCTGTGCGTAGGTACTGAGATTTACCAAGTCTACTTTTGAGGCTCCCCATGTCCCTACACGTACACACATACTGCCGAAAATTTATCCTGCAACCCCGAGAATAACTTTGTCTGCATTCACTTGGTGAGTTCAAAACCGTGACTTCTCCCTTCTAGTGACTAGACGCAGAAGAACTGATTTCTGAAGTCTCAGAAGAGTGCTTAGGTCCGAAAAATAACTTTTTCCATCTATAATGCTCTTCTGTGGTATTACTAACCTCCTCTGAATCTGCCCGTCCCACCAGGGGGCCTGGTGGAAACCCTGTTGGGTCCTCCTTTCTGTCCCTCACCTTTCCGAGGCTCAGCAGCAGGTCAACGAGAACGGCCACCCCTAGGTTCATGCAGGCCCTACTGACTTTCTGTCCTCCTAAAAATGTTCATTTTCCATTTATCAAATATGTTAAGCATACAGGGAAGTTCAAAGAATAATTTAGCTGTCATGTGTCCTCCAAAGATTTTTCAAGTGTTATTAGCCATTTTAGATTTTGAAAACTAAAATGTTACAGGTTCAGGGGAAAAGGACTTCATATCTAGTTTCTGTTTCCATTTCCCACTGTTACCCAGAGTGTTCACTAACTTGAAGGTGATGAGTATTATTTCCATTTGACTGCATATATAGGATAAACAAAAAAATTGCAGTGTCATTATGTATTTTTAAAATATATTTAAATGGCATCACACTGTACTTGAGACCATTTGCAAATTACTTTTTTTTTTTAAATTGAACTATATAGTTGGCATACAATATCATATTAGTTTTGGGTATACATAGTGATGCAACAATTCCATACGTTATGAAATGCTCACCATGATGCCTAGTTACCATCTGTCACCCTATGAAGTTATTATAATATGATTGACTATAATCCCTGTGCTGTACTTTTCATCCTTGTGACTTACTTATTTTATAACTAGAAGTGTGTACCTCTTAATCCCATTCCTCTATTTCAACCGTTCCCCCACTTTCTTCCCCTCTGGCCACCACTAGTTTCTTCTTTGTTTTTATGAGTCTCTTTTTCTGTTTTTTTGTCATTTGCTCATTTTCTTTTTTAGATACCACATGTATGTGGGCTCATAGGGTATTTTTGTCTTTCTCTGACTGATTTCACTCAGCCTGATGCTTTCTAGATGCATCCATGTTGTTAGAAATGGTGAGCGTTCTTTTTTATGACAGAGTGATATTCCATTGTATATACCTACGACTTCTTCTTTATCTGTTCATCCATCAGTGGACACATTGGTTGCTTCCGTATCTTGGTCGTTGTAAATCACATGGCAGTAAACATAAGGGTGCATCGATCTTTTCAAATTAGTGGGTTTTCATTTTTTTTTTTTCAGGTAAATACCCAGATGTAAAATTACTGGATCATATGGTATTTCTATTTTTAATTTTTTGAGGAAACTCCACACTGTTTTCCACATAGGCTGTACCAGTTGGCATTCCCATCAACAATGCACGAGGTTCCCTTTTCTCCACATCCTCGCCAACATTTGTTATTTCTTATGTTTTTCATACTAGCTATTCAGACTGGTGTGAGGTCATTATCTCATTGCAGTTTTTAACTGTTTTTAACATTCAACATTTAAGAATCATTTCAGTATTAGTACATTAAGTCAAGTTCATTTATTTTTTAGTTATATATCATATTCCATTATAAGATTATACCGCAGTGTATCCATTATTTTATTGATGGACACTGGCTGTTTATGATTGTTTTTGCTGTTAGTAACACCATGAAGAACCTGTCCATGTATGAGATTTTCTTTAGATCTGCACTGATTGGTATAATAGTCAGTAGCTTAAAATGCAGCTACTCTAAATTGCATTGTGCTGTATGTATAAAATACACACCAGACTTTGAAGATTTAGAATGAAAAAAAAAAAGTAAAATATCTCATTAATGATTTTTATAGTCATTGCCTATTAAGTTGACAGTATTTTTACATACTTTGTTTAAATAAAAGATATCATTAAAATAATTTCACCTATAATTTGGCTACTAAAAAGTTTAAGATTATATATATATATGACTTGCACTGTAATTTTGTTGGACAAGGCTGGTCTACATCAGGGTCAGTAATTACCATCTACAGTATGGTAATCTGTGTTTGTAAATAAAGTTTTATTGGAAAACATGTCCATTCATTTACATAGAGTTGATGACTTCTTTCCTGTTGCCATAGCAGAGTTGAGTAGTTGTAACAGAGACCATATGATCCATAATCCTAAAATATCACCCATCTGGCCTTTTAAGGAAATGCTTGTTGACCCCTATTCTAGAGCAGTGGTTTTTAGCCATTTTTTAACAATGACCCACAATAAGAAATTTTTTGGCTATCATGACCCAGTAGGCACACACCTGAAAAAAAAAGTTTCACAAAACAATGTTTCAAAAATCCTAAACTGAAATATTTTCGTGTTTTCTGGTCCCATAGCAGCCTATTTTGTTAAACTGCTGGTAAATTGCTATGACTCACTAAATTGACTGGGCCGCATGTTCACTACTAGTGATTTGAATAACATTTCTCAAGGACATCTATCCAAGGTGTGTGTGTGTGTGTGTGTCTTCATACACACACACACACACACACACACACACTTACATATTTTTTTAGTTTTATCTGTTTGTATACATTTCATTCAGTGTTTTTCTAGGTTTATGGACTGGGGAGCTTTGCCAGCTCAGCAGCTCTGGCGCCGGAATTTCTCCCTTGGCAATTTTCTGGGCCTGAGGAGCAAGAGACTCCAAAGGCCACTTTGGAGGGGGCTGGGTCGTTGCATTGCCACAGAGCTGGCTTCTCTCATAGACCCAGGAGTTGTCATTACTCACAGCTGCATATCTAGGCTTTATCTGCAAAAGCCATGTTTGATAGATCAGATGAGAATAAAAATATTTTATAAAACTTTCCATGATTTTATTTTGCCAGAGGGTAAAATAATCTACTGCCAGAGCACTTCCTGAGGATCTGATATTTCCCAGAGCCCTACAGCGACATTAAAACGTAAGGCATAGTATTGGTCGTGACCTGGCCATCACTGTCACAGCTTACACTTGACAGCTGTAAGCTATTTCTCAATGTGGGTTCTAAGAATTTGGGGTGAGGAGAAGGACGTGTCCCTGAAGAGTATTTTCATGGGAGCTAACAAACTTTCTCTAAACTTTTCTGGTGATCAGTACAGCATTCCCGGGACCGCAAAGACCAATGGAGGGTCTGGCAATGTTGAACACAAAGAACAGTCGATACATTCTTGACTGTAAGGTCATGTGCATTAAATAAGGCAGCTCTGATGCCAGATCAATACTGCATTGTATATTTCCTACAGCCAATATTGAGATATAGATCTGCTGTAGTGGGAACAGGACTGTCATCAGGAAATATCAGTTTGGACAAATCTGGGTTACCACCAACAGGGAGAGAGCTAGATTGATTGTGGTCTGCCTCACTTGGTGGCAAAAATGTCAGGTCAGAGTGAATATTCATGTAGTCCTTGGAAAAAGGGAAGGAGAAATCAATAAGCTAACTGCTTTACCTGATAACGGGCCGTGTTTTCTCCAAGGCAGGTTATTTTTCTCTTGAACTTGGTATTCTGGTCCGTGATATGTTGGTAATGGTGTCTTAGAGATGCAACAAAAGATTTCATAGAAAGCCTAAGGCAGATTCTATGCTTCAGGAAGAAGGGTTATGTTAACGTGTTTCTGAGCATTGTACTAGAAGTCTGGTTAAAATGATAGAAAGTTTTCGTTAATTCCAAGGAATAACCTAGACCCTTTGAAGCTCTGTTAAGAGAGTACCAGTCAAGAGGAAATCCCACCTTTTTAGTCCTAATTTGCAATTCATTTGCTCTGTGATCCTGCAGAAACTACCCCATCTCCGTATATCTCTGTAATTGACTCGTATGATAATGTTCATGTTTTTCTTCATAGAGATGTTGTACAGTCTACAATAGGGGACATAAATGTTTTGGCCAACAGGGTTAGAATATGAAGGCGGTTCCTCCCAAATCATGATTTTGGATTTGTCTAAATTTCATAGAGTCACCTGTCCTAACCATACTTGACAAATCTCCTACCATTCACGTGCATAAGGTTTCAAAAGTGTGCCCGTTCTCTCTTGCCAGGATCATCTTTTTTTCAAAACTTGCTGTTGCTTCAGCTTTCCAGAGCATAGTAGGTTCATGACCCATTGCCTGGCTTTTGAACTGAACCCAAATTAATCGCTTTTCTTGTTTGTTCTTGCATTTTCCAGGCACCTTTTAAAAATGAACAAGAGCAGCTCTGATTTGGAAAAAGTGAGCCAGGGCTCTGCAGAGAGCCTCAGTCCTCCCTGCAGGGGCGTCCACGTCAGCTTCAACACGGGCTCCACGGACAGCCTGGCCTCAGACTCCAGGACCTGCAGTGATGGAGGTAACAGACTTGACCTTGACGGGGAGGCTTAGATTCTCCCAAGTCTGGAAGGCCAGCAGTGGGCTCACTGCTAGGATTTGGAATGGCTGAGCTAGACCTACTGTCTTGGTCCTGCTTTGCCCCTGAGGTAGACTCCACCGAGGGGCAGTTGCCATTAATTCCCTGTTGGATACATGACGAGGCATCTCATGCCGCCATGCCTTTTCTTCAGACACACAGTGTGTCCACTGGCTCCTGGGATGATGAGCCATCTATGTGTAGGTCTGTCTTCCATTTCTGTCCTCGGGATGTGTTCTCAGGGGTTTAGTACCACCAACCACAAGCTTTTACCCTCCACATTTCTCTCTCTCCCTCTCCGCCATCTTGTTCACTTCTTCATGTGCGTGAGGGCACACCCCCGTGCACATGTGCACACACTCACTTGGAAATGGCAGGTGCTTACGTATATGTTTGTTGAATTAAAGCATGGAGGCTTCATGAGACTACCAGCCACTCTGTGGAGAAAGCTCTAAGGTGTACAATGTGGGTATGTCCTGATTGGGCACATTCCTGAGAAGGAACTCTTGTGTTTCTGTAGTTGTAATGGGTAGTGTTAAAACCTCTCACCGTTTCAACATTCTTTGCATGTGTGTGTGTCTCTGTGTGTTTCTTCTGTTTTTCTCTTAAACTTGCTTTAGCATGTTAGTTTTCAACATGTGCTAACATGACGACCTCTCTCACTCCAGTGGAAATATTTCTTCCCAGTAGGCAATTTTGGAGTCGAGACTTCCATCGTAAAGTCGCAGTCACCAACATATTTCTGTTGGAAAATGAGTACTGCAAAGTCTAGAACATATGTTGTGTCAGTCTGTGGTGT